TTCACTGATTCATTATTGTTCTTTCTCGTTGCATAGTACTCCATTGTGTGTATGTACCATAGTTTGTTTATCCATTCATCTGTTGATGGGCACCTACATTGTTTCCATTGTTTTGCTATTGTGAACTGTTGTTCAATATTTTGCCCATAGAATCCTTCAACATAGCAACTCAAGGCTTGAGTTTTTTCTTCAGTTCTTTAAGCTTGAGAAATACTGAGTGTGTTCTTCCCTTATGGTTTTCTAACTCTAGGTCATTACACATTTCATGATAATACTTTACTTTGTCTTCTCGAGCCACCCTTTGAAATCTTCTGTTCAGTTCTTTTAATTCATCATTTCTTCCATTTGCTTTAGCTAGTTGATGTTGAAGAGCAAGTTTCCGAGTCTCTTCGGACATGCATTTTGGTCTTTTCTTTCTTTCCTGTCTTTTTAATCACCTCTTTCTTTCTTTATGTATGATGCCCTTGATGTCATACCACAACTCATCTGGTCTTCGGTCATTAGTGTTCAATATGTCAAATCTATTCTTGAGATAGTCTCTAAATTCAGGGGGAATATACTCAAGATCGTACTTTGGCTCCTGTGGAGCTGTTTTACTGTTCTTCAGTTTCAACTTGAACTTGCATATGAGCAACTGATGGTCTTTTCTGCAGTTGGCCCCTGGCTTTGTTCTGACAGATGATACTGAGCTTCTCCACTGTCTCTTTTCACAGATGTAGTCTGATTCCTGTGTATTCCATCCGGTTAGGTCCACATGTATAGTCACCGTTTATGTTGTTGAAAATAGGTATTTGCACTAAATAACCTGTTGGTCTTGCAAAATTCTATCATGCTATTGCTGGTGTCATTTCTATTACCAAGGCAATATTTTCCAACTACTGATCATTTTTCTGTTTCCATCTTTTGTAATCCAATCACCAATAATTATCAATACATCTCAACTGCATGTTTGATCAATTCCAGACTGCAGAAGTAGGTAAAAATCTTCAACTTCTTCATTTTTGGCCTTAGTGATTGGTGCATAAATTTGAATAATAGTCGTATTAACTGGTCTTCCTTGTAGGCATATGGATATTATTCTATTACTGACAGCGATGTACTTCAGGGTAGATCCGGAAATGTTCTGACAATGAATGTGACATCATTCCTCTTCAAGCTGTCATTCCTGGCATAGCAGACCACATGACTATCTCATTCAAAATGCCAATATCAGTCCATTTCAGCTCACTAATGCCTAGGATATCGATCTTTATGTGTTCCATTTCATTTTTGATGACTTCCAATTTTCCTAGATTCACACTTCGTACATTCCACGTTCCAATTATTAATGGATATTTGCAGCTGTTTCTTCTCATTTTGAGTCGTGCCACATCAGCAAACATAGGTCTCCAAAGTTTTACTCCATCCACGTCATTAAGATTGACTCTCCTCTGAGGTGGCAGCTCTTCCGTAGTCGTCTTTTGACTGTCTTTCAACCTGAGGGGCTCATCATCCGGTACTATATCAGACAATGTTCTGCTGTTATCCATAAGGTTTTCACTGGCCAATTTTTGTAGAGGTAGATCACCAGTTCCTTTTTCCTAGTCTGTCTTAGTCTTGAAGCTCCACTGAAAGCTGTCCTTCATGGGTGACCCTGCTGGTATTTGAAATACTGGTGGCATAGCTTCCAGCATCACAGCAACATGCAAGCCACAACAATACTACAAGCTGACAGACAAGTGGTGGCAACACTGTCTAGGTAAGCAGTAAAAATATTACTTTATATTAGACTCTAACAAGTCAGGGATATGTGTAATAAGCCGTAGGGTAACCATTAAAAGACTAGTAAAGGACTGTAAAATTAACAACTACTATATTAGAGGGAGAAAATCAAAAGAAGGTAAGAAAGAAGAGGGAAAAAGCAGTATAAAACAGGTAGGACAAATAGAAAACAAATAGGATGGTTTAAGATGATGTAATAAAGCCCAAATATATCAATAATTATATTATCTATGAACTCTAATTAAAAGATAATCTTGTCTGACTGGATAAAAAAATAAAACCTAAGTATATGCTGTTTAAAGGAGACACACTGCAAATATATACATCCAGAAATGTTGAAAGTAAAAGTGCAGAAACGGATGCACCACTTAATCTTTCTCACTGAGATTCCATGAGAGAATTAAGTCCTAATACACTAGCAGCCATTGTATGTACGGAATTAACTTCTTTAATATGCATCTGAAATTTCTGAACACTTAATTGTGCTCATGTGGAACCAGTACATATATCACAAGGTGTGAACAAAACAAAAGGATACTGAGTGGTTCAAAATTGGAAAAGATGTGTGGCAGGGTTGTATCCTTTTACCTTACTTATTCAAACTGTATGCTGAACAAATAATTCAAGAAGCCAGACTATATGAAGAAGAATGCAGCATCAGGACTGGGGGAAGACAACCTGCAATGTGCAGATGACACAACCTTGCTTGTCAAAATTGAACATGAGCTGATGCACATACTGATGAAGGTCAAAGACTACAGCCTTCAGTATGGATTACATTTCAATATAAAGAAAGGAAAAATCCTCACAACTGGACTGAAAAATAACATCATGATAAATGGGAAGAAACTGAAGTTGTCAATGATTTCAATCTACTTAGATTAACAATCAATGTTCAAGGAAGCAGCAGTGAAGAAATCAAATGATGTACTGCACTGGGAAAATCTGCTGCAAAAGACCTCTTTAAAGTTTTAAAAAGCAAAGATGTCACTTTGATGACTAAGGTGCATCTGCTCCAAGCCATGGTCTTTTCACTCTCCTCATATTTTCGTGAAACTGGATAATGAAAAAGGAAGACAGAAGAATTGACACATTCAAATTGTGGTGTTGATGAATATTGAATATAATGTGGACTGAAATCAGTCTTAGCAGAAATATAACCAGAATGTGCCTTAGAAGCAAGGATAGCAAGTCTTTGATTCGCTTATTTTGGACACATCATCAGGAAAAACCAATTGCAGAAAAGAACACCATGTTTGGTAAAGTAGATGGTTAGCTAAAATGAGGGAAACTCTCAGTTAGATGGATGGACTGACACTATAGCTGCAATAATGGACTCAAACATACTAATGATCATGAAGATTGCCCTGGACCAGGAAACATTTTGTTCGTTTATACATAAGGTGGCTGTGAGTCAGCCAACTCAATAGCAACTAACAACAACAACCATGTATCCAGAATGGTACTACTATGCACCATCCTTGGCAGAACTGAAAAAAATAGTCAAACTATTGTGTAGTTTGCTGTTCATCTAAGGACCCTTGAGATGAGAAAGGCTGACATGGACTTAAAGGCAAAAAATATTACTAGTGTGCTCACTTTAGCAGCACATGTACTAAAAATTAGAAAGACACAGAGAAGATTAACATGGCCCCTGAGCAAGGATGATACACCAATTCATAAAGCATGCCACATTTTTGAATAGCCAAAGCAATATTGAACCAAAAAAACAAAGTAGTAGGCCTCACACTTCCCAACCTCAAAACACTATACAGCCACAGTAATCAAAACGGATGGTACTGGTTCAATGACAAATATATACACCAGTGGAATACAATTAAGAACCCAGAAATAAATCCATCCATCTTACAGACAACTGATTTTCGACAAAAGGTCTAAGTCTATTCAATGAGGAAGGAACAGTCTCTTCAACAAATGTTGCTGGCAAAACTGGGTAACTACACACAGAAAAATGAAATGGGATCCATACCACACACCACACACAAAAACTAACTCAAAATGGATCAAGCACTTAAATGTTAAAGCCAAAACATAAAGTTCTTGGAAGAAAACATAGAGACAAAACTATGGGACCTACTTTTTTTTTAATGACAGATTATCAACTACTACTACAAATGCAAGAACAGCAGAAGATCATATATAGATAACTGGGATCTCATAAAAGTTAAACAAACACTTACGCTGATGAAAAGACTTTACCAAAACAATAAAGAGACAACCTACAGACTGGGAAAAAAACTTCAGGAACAACATATGTGATAAGGGTATAATCTATAAAACATACAGAAAATGTCAACAACCGAACAACAAAAAGACGAACAATTCAATTAAAAAATGGACAAACGATATGAACAGATACTTCACCAAAGAGGACGTTCAAGCAGCCAACAAACACATGAAAAGATGTTCCCAATCTTAAGCCATTAGAGAGATGCAAATCAAAACAACAATGAAATACTATCTCAACCTTGCTAAAATGGCAATGATCACAAAAATAGAAAACAACAAATACTGGTGAGCATGTAGGGAGACTGAATCCTTATCCACTGCTGGTGGGACTGTAAAATGATCCAGTCATTATGGAAAACAATATGATGCTTTCTCAAAAAACTAGAAATAGAAATACCCTATGATCCAGGTTTATGCCCTGAAGACCAAAGAGAAGTGACACGAACTCACATATGCACACCTATGTTCACTGCAGCATTATTTACAAGAGCAAAAAGATAGAAACAACCTAAGTGTCCATCAACAGATGAATGGATAAGCAAAATGTGGTACATACATACATGAGAATACTATGCAACCATAGAGAATAATGATGACTATTCGAAGCATAACGTGGATGAATCTAGAGGACATTATGCTGAGTGAAATAAGTCAACCATGAAAGGACAAATATTGCCATGATCCCACTTTTATAAAATGCCAAAAATATGTATACAAACAGAAACCAACATCCGTTGATGGTTACCAGGGAGAGGTTGTGGGACAAGGGGGAATCACTCTCTAGATAGTAGACACTTGTTATTTTTGGTGATGGGAAAGGTAACCCTGAACATGGGTGAGTGCGCATAGCCTGATCAAGGTAAATGATGTCACTAAGAAGTACACACTCAAAAAAGGACATTTTTAAAAAATGATAGAAAATACATAATTTTACATCAACAACCAAAAAAACATATTTTGGTTACATATGTACATATTTATGCATATACGTGTATAGGTACATATATGTGTGTATATGCATGTGCATATATAAATGTTGCTATGTGTGTAAGCATGTATGTTCATATATAAAACAAGGCACATTGGGGGCACAGTTATGGATACTTCTTAGACATAACCGAACACCTTATGGGATTGGATTTCTGGTTTTGAAGACTCAGGACCATAGTCTTGTGGGACAACTCAGTCAATTGGCATAAATAGTTCACAAAGTTTATGTTGTGTACCCTAGTTTGGTGAGTAGTGTCTGGGGTCTGAAAAGCTTGCAAGTGACCATCTAAGATACAAAACCACAGCCTCATCTACTGTGAGACCAGAAGAACCAGATGGTGTCTGGCAACCACTAACGACCATTCTGATCAGGGCAACAATACATGGATACTGACAGAACAGGAGAAAAATATGGAACACAACTTAAATTCTTAAAAAGCGCAGACTTACTGGACCGGTTGAAACCAGAGGACTCCCCGAGACTACTGCCCTACATAAACCTTGAACCGAAATTACCCCCTTGACGACACCTTTTAGCTAAATAACATATTGACTCATAAAATAAAGACTAGTACCAATAAGTATTGAGCACCTTTAAAAAATTATCTATATGAGACCAAATGATCAACAATTACTCTAAAGCAAAGATGAAAGGGTAAGGAGACAGGGAAACAAGATTACTGGAAGCAAAACATCCAGAAGGAAATTAATGAGAATGTTAAAACACTGTGAAAAATGTAACCAATGTCTGTGAACAATATGTGCAATAGAGAACTTAACTGGCTGTGTAAACCTTCACGGAAAACGCAATAAAATATTATTTGTTTAGATACTAGATAATAGATCAATATTGGTTCAACAATTGTAACAAATGCATACACCAATAAAAGATGTCAATAATATGAGAAATTATGTGCAGGAGGGAGAGAAAATGTAAGTGAACTCTTTGTACTTTCTGTGCAATTTTTCTGTAAACCTGAAACTTCTTTAAAAAATAAAGTATATTAATTCTGGAGCTGAAAAACATAACTAAACCCTACTGATTGAGTTCTAAAGTTAAGAACTCAATCAGTAGGGTTTAACAGCAGACTAAAAACAACTAAGGATATAATTAGTGAATCAGAAGATAGATGCAAAAAAATACTACGACTAAAGCATGGAGAGAAAAAAGGATAAAAAGTACAGAGAAGGATGCAAAAGAAACATGGTCAAAGTATGTAAGATAAAGGTGAAAAAGTCCAATATGTGTGTAACTGGAGTCCCAAAAGGAGAGAATGGGAGAAATTGTTCTCATTTAAAGAGATAATGTTTGAAAATGTTCCAAAAAAAAAAAAAAACAGACATCAAGTCACAGGCACAAGAAGCACTATCAACCCTAAGCAAGCATATCAAAGTAAAACTGCTGAAAATGAAAGGTAATCAGAAAATGTTAAAAAATTCCAAAAGGAGGCAAAGGAATAAACAAAGGAGAGAGCAAAAGAAACATAAAACAGATGGAAAAATACAAAGCAAATAACGTGATACATTTAAATCTAAATACCTCAATAATTACATTAAATGATTAAATACCAAATAAAAGTCCAAGCCTGTTAAATACACAGATTAAAAAGCCAAAACCCAACTAATGTTCTGTTTACAAGACATACAAAACTGGTTGCCGTCGAGTCAATTCCAACTCATAGCAACCCTACAGGGCAGAGTAGAACTGCCCCATAGGGTTTCCAAGGAGTGGCTGGTGGATTTCAACTGCCAACCTTTTGGTTAACAGCCATAGCTTTTAACCACTGCACCACCAGGGCTCCACAAGACATACACCATAAATATAAGATACAAAAAGGTTGAAAGAGTACAATAATGAAAAAAAGACATACCAAATGCTAAACCAAAAGAAAGCTGGAGTAGCTATAATACCAAACAGAGTAGACAGTAAGCCAAGAAGCGATTTCTAGGCACAAATAGGGACATTCCATTATGAGCTAAGACATAACAAGGATATAACAATTCTAAATTTACATGTATAACCTCAAAATGTGAAGCAAAACTTCTCAAAATTGTAAGGAAAAACAGAAAATTCCATAATCACAGCGAAACACTTTCACACACTATTCTAGGTAACCGATAGAACAAGACAACCAAAAAACCTTTTGAGGTTATGTAAGATTTGACAAACACTATTAACAAACTTTAACTAACTGACTTATACTGAAACTTGTACTAAACAAAGAACAATAAAATATATATTCTTTTCAAGTGCACATATGGCATTTATCAAAAATTAACCAGATACAGGCCCATAAGTCAGTTCATAATATATTACAAAGCAATGAAATCACACCAAGTACAGTCTCTGGTCAAAGTGGAATTAAGCTACAAATCATTAAAAAAAGTTTATCTGGAAAATTACCACAATAAATTTCTAAACACATGAAGCAAATAACAAATCTTATGGAAATTATAAAGTAGTCTGAACTAATATAATAAACGTGTGACGCAGCTAAAGCCATGGTTAGAGGGAAATTTATACCTCCAAATGTAAATATTAGAAAAAAGAAACCTGCAAAACAAAGGTCTGAGCATGCATCTAAAAAATTTAAAAATAAAGCATCAAAATAAATCCAAGTAATTTTAAATAGAAGGAAATAATAAAGATAAGATCAAAGATTAATGAACTAGAGACTTCCAGCAACATGGCGCTCTAAGCAGAAGCACCACGCCGTCCCTCCACAGCAAAGATTCAAAAAACTAAGCCGAACAGAGAAAACAGCAATCCTGAAACCCTAAACATCAAACGAGGAGATAAAGAACTCAGCCAAGCACCAAATGGAATAAGAAACTGACAGAGAACAGAGAGTGAGGAGACATACACGGAGAGGTCCCCTAACAGCTGACGCAGTGTGGATCCGCCATCTTGGACTTCTATTGGATACCAGCAAACAGGGGTACGAGAAGGCGGCCTCATGGAGCTTCCAGCAGGAGACAGAGCAGCCGGTAACTGGCGATATACGCTTTCCCACCCCCACCCTTCTTCACCCCGACTCGGCCTTCTCTGCTTTCCGCGGCCACAGTCTCTTGGCCAGGAAGCACCAGCTGCTTGGATTCCAACCGCCCGCATTGTCCGACTCCCTGAGTGCCATTTGTTGGCTCTGGTGTTGCTTTTTTCTGCTTCTTTTGATTTCTTCCTTACCTCTCACCACCTCCCCCTCCTTTCGCTCAAATACCTGGCTCCGTGTGCCATCTTTGCTTCTTCCTGAGGGACTGTCGAGCTCTGTTCCAGTGTGGAACTGCTTCCTGATACGTGCTGCCACGCTGGTGGGATCCCGGGGCTTTGTTTGGCTTCTTTGTTTTGAATTATTTGTTTTCTTTTTCCTTTCTCAAGTTGGGAGCCCATTCTGGCCAGGCAGTACTGCGTGGCTTGGGACCTACCCCCTTAGCTTGTGCAGACGTGCAGAGGGATCCCTG